GAGACCTTCTAAAAACGTTAAAATGTATTACTGGAACGCAAAACCTTAAATTAGAGTGAATAAATGAAGACTCGGCACACCGCTTCCGAAAGGTTGCCGACCCCTGGGCTAGAGGGTACCCCACAGGGAGGAATTTCCAAGTGTGCCTTCCTTCGCTTCCTGTTTTCTCTTTCCTGGAGGTTTCACATTTTCTGTCCTTTCCCTTTTTTGCAGTTTTAAAACTCTTTCCTTGTCATTTTGCTTTCCTGAAGTTTTCAGACTTTCTCTCTGACCCTTTTCCTTTTCTTGATCACTAGGTGAGAATCCGCTTTCTTTTGTAAATGATTTAAAAGGGGCTCAACCTCCCTTTACTCGCTGTTATTTAAAATATTTAAACACCTGGTTTTGTTCAAAAATCTTCTAACCTGAACACGTGAAAACACACACTAGCTTCCTAATTCCCCACAGAAAGAAAAATGAAAACATGAATCTTTTTCCCATAATGTCCAACATGGCAAAAGTGCACACGTCCCTAAATGAGACTGGAAGGTGGAACATAAAGCACAAAGGGAACATGGAAACCTGTCAAAATTGGTATGCTGGATAAAAGGTGCAGAAGTACTACGCTCTCTCCTCAGGGGTATTACAGACTGGCAGGGCTCACCTCTCATGCTGATGACCACTGGCTCACTCCTCCTGGCTGGGACATTCCGTCCGGACAGACGTACCCAGTATGAACAGCTGTACGACCCAAATACCGTTGGTCCAGTGATATTCAAGTTGTAGATGTAGCTGCTCTTGGATGAAGCCAGCGCTAACACAGCTATTCTATCTCCAAAGTACTGGAAACCTTTAACCCTGTCCACCGAAGAGGGTGTTGAACACACGAGTCCCACGGAGTCACCAGCACGGTACACCCGGCGCCAGGGATTCAAGGAGAGGAATGGGGCCGCAGGAGCGTCTGGGAAACATCAATGGCACCTATCCATCCTAATGAAAACAGGACCAGCATCTTCAATCCCAACCCAGTCCCTTCAGGCTGTGGGGGACCCATCCCTAGTCTGCGGCCCACCCGTGTCCTTCCTGAGGTCCTGGTCAGAACTCACCAAGAACCCCATTGCCTGGATTAAAGGGGACTCTGCATGGCAAATGTATCTGTGGTGCTTATAGAGCCAGAGTAGCTGAGTGTCTCCCATTCTTTAATTCAGGACGGGGGCAGTGCTGTTACTTCCGCCAGGAGCAATGGGTGCTCTCTAAAAGTGGATGGGCCACGGGCACCCAAACCGTGGTCCTGCCCCTTCTCCCTGAGCCCCCACCCTTTTGTCATCCCCTTCCCCTGAGGCCCTGCCCACACGCCACCTCTTCCCCCAAAACTCCCCACCCCCAGCTCACTCCGCTCTGCCCCCTACCACTGCCCCCTCGCCCTTACAGCCGGTAAAAATGGGGAGGGCAGAGTCCTCCCACTTATAACAGTGATGAGGCCCTGTCCCCCCCCCCCGTTCTGTCATCCCTGACTCCCTCCCCTACAACAGATGCACAAAGAGCCAACAATTGCAGTTAGGCGCCTAAATGGCCCAGGCCCTTTGGAAAACCCCACTAGGGACCTAAATGCCTCTTGAGGTGCCTAAATACCTTTGAGAAATGGAGACTATGAATTTCAAAGCTATTTAGATGCCTAAAGACAGAGGTAGGCGCCGACCTCCCATGGATTTCATGGCTTCATAGATTCCAAGGTCAGAAGGGAGTGTTGTGATCATCTGGTCTGACCTCCTCTATCACCCTTGCCAGAGAACAGCCCTGAAATAATTCCTAGAGTGGATCTTTTAGAAAAAAGATCTCATCTGGAGTTAAAAATTGCCAGTGGTGGCGCATCCACCATGACCCTTGGGAGATTGGTCCAGTGGTTAATTACCCTCCCAGTTAAAAATGCATGGTAATTTCCATTTCAGTGGGGGTTGGGTTCCACCCGTTAAGGGGGCTGCTCTAACCACTGAGCCATCTTCCCTCCCACAGCTAATACAGAAAAGGCCGAGCTAAATTAGGAATGTAAGCTCCTCGTTTGATGGCATTGGTCAGGTTTCTGTTCAGGACCAGGACTGAGAAGAAAGGAAATGCCATCAAAGGATGAGCCCAGGAGCTTAAATTCATGACTTTGCTGGACACCCAAATTCATGGACTCAGTAGAGACACTGGATTTATGGCTCGTTGCAACAGTCTCTCACCTCCTAACCCTCCTTCATCCTATAACTGCAGAGGTGTTCGCCACCCTTTTCACCTTGAATGGTTGCTCGCAATGTGCTTTAACTCCTAGTGCCGAATAATCGGTTCCATCTTGGATGTAGCTGTTCTGCCGTGACACTCTGAGAACCTTCCCCAGCCCAGAAGAAGAGCTCTGTATAGCCCAAAATAGGGTTGCCAACCGTCCAGGATTGTCCTGGAGTCTCAAGGAATTAAAGAATATTCTCTCATTAACCATGATGTCATGCGATGAAACCTCCAGGAATACGTCCAACCAAAATGGGCAACCTTAGTTCAGAAGCTTGTTGCTTTCACCACAGAAGTTCGTCCAATCAAAGATATCACCTCCCCTGCCTTGTCTCTCTAATATCCAGGGATCAATATGGCTAGGACAAGGTGGCAGATTGGAGGAGGCCCCAGGGGTGGGTGTGACATTCTCTGATTAAAATATGACCATATAGATCATTGCTGCAACCACTGTTATATATTTGTAGTAAATCTTGTACAAAGGTTGTCAAGTGAGATGTCTATGAAAAGGTTATGATTTGCTGGTTATGATTATGCTATTTGCATGCATGTATCATGTTTGTATTTGAAGTTATGAATATTGATTCTATACCTGGATTTCAAATGTTTGCTTCTGGAGTAACACCCACAAGGTAGCACCTGGCACATCTTGGAGGGACTATTCAAATTAAGTGACTCATCAAGAAACACTTGGTTGACAATGGACCATGGGAGATGCCCATCTACACTGAGTGGACTGTCATGTAAACGTGGTGTCTGGAGTGTAGGTAATGGCTTCCTGCAATGACTGAGCAAAATGCATGGACATGGGACTTGCCCATGTGACTCCAAACTCCATCTTGTTGCTGTAATTTTCCACAGTAAGAACAATAGGATGCCCGCCACAAGGCAAAAGCTATAAAAGGCCTTGGAAACACCTCCAGGTTTTCTTCAATCCTGCTTCTTACCTACAAACTGAAGCTCTGAAGAAAGGACTGAATGACCCATCCAAGCACAGTTGTCAACTTTCATGTGGTAAATAAGCACCCCAACTTTCATAATAAGTCAAAAATCAAGTTATAAGCCAAAAATCAAGCTAATCCCATTTCAAAACAAGGCCAAAACAAGCCAATCCTAAGAACCTCTATGTGACTAGATCCCCCCGGCATGCAGTCCCTGGGCACACTGTGCATCCCTGACTCTCTCCCAACCTCACCCCTGCTCGCCCCTTGCCACTGCTTGCCCCCCCTTAACCCTGCTTGCTCCGATTCGATCAAAAAGCAACAAGCTACCACAAGCCAAACAAGCTACAAGCCAACAAGCAATTCACAAGCCAATTAAGCCAAAAACAAGCCCAATTTCTGCATTTTTTCCGCGGGTTTGGCATGTCTGCAACCAAACTGGATGTACTCCAGAGACTTGACTCAAGCCAGCAGTTTATTCCATCACTGCTACAAGCCTGAACCAAGAACTTTGCAATTACTGGATGTATTTGATTCTTTTAACCAGTTTTAACTCTCAGCTTCCTTTCCTTCTTTTTATGAATAAACCTTTAGATTTTAGATACTAAAGGATTGGTACCAGCGTGATTTTGGGGTAAGATCTAAGTTATATATTGACCTGGGTGTGTGGCTGGTCCTTTGGGATCAGAAGAAGCTATTATTTGATGAGACTGGTTGTAAAGAACCACTAATCTCTGAATCCAGTGGTTGTGGTGGTGATATAAGAACTGAGGAAACTGCCTTTATGTCCTCTTGTTAGCCAGTGTGGGGAACCAGGAGTTTGTTTGTGGCTGGTTTGGTAAATCCTATGGGGGATCAACCACCAGTCTTGGGGTGTCTCTGCCCCATTTCTAAACAGTTCATCCAGAATTTGACATCCTCACTTATAACCCACTGAGGCCCGGTTACAGTGGGGGATGAACATGCAAACACAAAGACACACAGTAACTCCTCGCTTAACGCAGTAGTTCTGTTCCTGGAAAATGCTACTTTAAGCAAAACAATGTTAAGCAAATCCAATTTCCCCATAAGAATTAATGTAAGTGGCGGGGGCGGGGATAGGTTCCAGGGAAATTTTGCCAGACAAAAGGCATTATACATATTTATATATACACATAACCAGTGTAAGTTTTAAACAATTGAATACTGTACACAGCATTGCTGGTTGTGAAGCCTGTTTGAGGTGGTGGAGTCAGAGGGTGGGACATTTCCCAGGGAATGCCTTGCTGCTAAATGATGAACTAGCACTCGGCTGAGCCCTCAAGGGTTAACACATTGTTGTTAATGTGGCCTCACCCTCTACAAGGCAGCAGGGATAAAGGGAGGAGACACAATAGACACATGGCAGCGGCTGGGGTTGGGGAGCTGCATGTGTGTGTGAGAGAAAGACACACATCCTATGTGTGTGTGTGTGAGAGAGAGACAGACAGACACAGAGACAGAGATGTGCATTGCCCCTTTAAGTACGCTGACCGCACTCTAACTACACTGTCTTTTTAAGTAGATCAGCAAGTTGAGACAGCAGCTGGTGCCAGCAAGCTCCCTCTGTCCTGAGCCCTGTCGTGTCCCCCCACCCGCTCTGTGGAGATGGGGTACAGGAGCGGGGGGGGGTGGACACCCTGACATCAGCACCCCTCTTCCCCCCCACCTGCACAGCAAGCTGCCAAACGTTATAAGGGAGCATTGCACAACTTTAAACCAGTATGTTCTCTAATAGATCACCAACGAAACAACGTTAACCGGGGACGGTAAGTGAGGAGTTACTGTACCCTTCACTTGAACGGAGACGGGCTGGCTCTTCTCAGATGGGGTTTCTTGCCCCGATGCCCCCCCTCCAGTATGCACAACTGTAGGCCCCGGTGGTGGCCAGCTGAGCTGTGAGATGGAGCTGGCCTTCCCTGTAGAGATCAGGGGGTGTTTCGAAGAGCCGCTCCCCACTTTGGTCGAAGAACCGGTACCCCGTCGGCTCTGCAGCCCCGGGAGCCGAGCACCTGAGTGTCAGACGCTCCCCCTCAAAGAACTCCGGGTGTGGGGGGTGCAGAGAGAGTGTGGGGGCTGATAGGGGAGCTGGAATGGAAACACAGAGGTTAGTGCAGAGGGGGAGACCACCAGGGAGTGAGGGGGAGAGGAAATGCGGGAGGAAACCCCGACACAGACCTCCCCCATCCCCCTGCCCTTTCCTCCCACCTCCACACGAGGAAATATCTCAGGGCAGATACAGCACCTCTGGGTACATTAAAGTCCCTTTACCTGTAGGTGACACCAGGCTGGGGAAAATCTGGAGAGAGGCTGAAAAAGAGAAGCGAGGGAGTGAGAATTCTGGGAAAGAAAGAAAGAAAAGGAGAGCCATTGGAAAGAAAGTCTCTCACTCAGCACAGGCAGAAGGAAAGTCAATTCCATGCTAAGCTGATTCCTCTGCTGCTGAAATTTGAGTTCTCTGCTCAGCCACCAGCCTCGTGTCCTGCCTGGGGCCGTACCCAGCACCCAGCACCGTTCCCCTCCACCAGCTGCACAAAGCCCCCCTCTGGCAGATTTCCGGGGCTCAGCCCGGGCACACACCAGGCTCCTGGGCCAGGCTACTGCACCTGCCTGGGGCTCTAGGGATATTTCTTCCCATACCTCTGCTTTTCTCTGGGAAATGGGAAGAATAATACTTGCCTGCCTGCCATATGGGATTATTGTATAAGGATTCGATTGAGATCTGTAGGGCCGGGAACATTACATTTTTAAACCTAACCAGTGTCCCTTACGTGACTTGCCACAAGATGTCAGAACATGTTAGTATTAGAGCTGGAAATGTCTCTCAGCCCCGATCCCCATTCTGCTCCTCTACCCTCCAGACCGCTCCCTCTCCTAGCTAATGACTGAGATGATGGAGAATAAGGTTGTTCATTGGCATATCTTGTATGTCCAGCCTGACCAAAATAAATGTGGGTTTTTCCCTAAAGTCCAGTTGTGGTTAGAAAAGCGGCTCTGCAAAAACATCACCACAGTCACAGGCTTCTACTTTCTCTGTTTCAGGTCAAATCTGTTCATTTTATGGGTACAAACATGTTTTTGCTCTTAATGGTGCAAGAACCAATATCAGTCAAGGAACACAAGCTCTGTTCTGTTTGGCCTCAGACATCAACAGAAGTGTTGAATGCATTACAGCTGAAGATGAAAGAAGCAGAAAGAACCTAATTTGGCTTTCAGGGTTACGCAAGGGCAGGAATTAAGAAAATTAACGGATCCAATTTAATCTGGAGTCAGAGGAAGAGGAACTATGGGAAAGCAACATTTAAATAGTAAATACAATATTTAAATATTAAGTAAACGTAAAGTTACAAAGTATTATGTTAATCTGTGAGCATGAGATAAGAGGAGATAAATGAAGATGAACTAAAATGAATTAAAAAACAAAGGTTTGTTTTTAACCACATTCTAACTGCTATGCCACTGTTCTGTGGTGTCATCTGAGATTTACAATAGACACCTAGTTCCCGGCAAAGACGTCTAAACTTTCACATAATGCTGGGAAATAAAGTGATCTGTGTGGTTACAAAAAGTAATCCACAGTTTTAGTGTACAATAAAAATATTAACTACAAACATGAGCTCATGAAAACCAGTAAAGAGACTGGCAACAATTACTAGAACAAATAGAAGAATGCAGTTGATGACCAAGGGGGTTGCGTTGCACATGGGTTTCTTTTTCTAAAGAAAAACAGAACCAGAAAAGAGAAGTCCCCCCAGAAAAGAGAAGTCCCCCAAATTATGTTGAGACCAGGAACAGGGAACCAGCTGCAGCACAGAGGCGTGGCACAAGCGGCCAGGGATGAGAGCAGGGTTGGTTTTGTTCAACGGAACTGGCTCTGGTGTTGGGCCTGTCACGAAGTCAACAGTAAAGTCAGTAGCTCAGCCAGAGGCTAGGGGCTATTAGAGGAGCAGGTGGGCGAGGTTCTGTGGCCTGTGAGGAGCAGTACGTCAGATGAGATGATCATGATGGTCCCTCTGGTGGAGGGTCACAGGGCTCCTTCTGCAGTAGAGGTAGCTGTGCCGTTCCCTTTGACCTCACCGTGAAGCCAACGTCTCTGCTAGAGCTGCCTGGGAACCAGGCTTATTTGACCAGAGGTAGATTTGGCTATCTCAATTTTACTTCCCCTTCTGAAACGAAAACCAAGTGTTTCAAAATGCCCCATGAAATATGATTCTGAGAAGCACTCATCAGCGATCCCAAGAAGGTCACGCAAGGACCCAGCCTGACCTCTGCTGTGACACATAATTCCTAAAGCCGATCTTTCAGAGAAACATCCTATCTTGATTTTAACATTGCTGGGACAGAAAACCCACCACAGACTTCGGGATGTGGTTCCAACACTCAATTCCCCTCACCGTTGAAAATTTGCACATGATTTCCAGGCTGAATTTGTAAAGTGTCAACTTCCAGCTGTTGGATAATGTTATAACTTCGTAGGCTGATGGAAGAACCCTCAATGATCCAATTTCTCTTCCCTCCATAGGCACTTACAAATTGTGATCAAGTCACCCCATAATCTTCTCTTTCTTTATCTCAATAGATCAAGCTCCTGGAATCTCTCACTCTAGGCAGGTTTCCTACTCCTTGAATCTTTCTCGTAGCTCTTCTCTGCCCTCTCTTCAATTTATCAACATCCTCCTGTGAATCTACAGGGTCCATAATTCAAGATTTCGAGGCTGTTCTGACCTCTAGTGTGACCTCCCGTCTAACTCAGAACTGAGCACAGGATTTCAGTAGCCATCGAACGAGTGAGTTGAGGGAAACGTCGTGTTTTGATGAAATCAGAACAGGTTTTGGCCAAAAAGGGACCCAAATCTCAGATGGCGTCATCACTTGATGATTATCTGTCGTGTTCATTCCCTCTGAAGCACCTGGCATTGGCCACTGTCGGAAGACAGGATACTGGGCTAGATGGACCTTTGGTTTGACTATGTGCTTATGACCTGTCAGCTGGAACGGGGACAGAAGATTTTGTTCTGAGTTTGATCTTTAAAAACCTTTCCATACAGAAACATTTCTGGTGCAAAAACTCGCTCCAAAATGAAAAATCAAAGCGATCGGTTTTGAAAGGGTCCAAACGGATCATCATCAACATGCTTCATTTTCGGACAGGTTTGATTAGTGACATTTTGCCAAAATTGATAATTTTTTCTAAATATTTCAATTTTGACAAAACCAGCATGTGCGGAGGAAAATTTTCCACAAGCTTTGGCCTGTGCTGCAAACACAAGTTTTTGATTTGCTGATCACCCTCCTTCAATGAGTCAGCCAGTCCCCCTGCCTTGGGCCAGGTCAGAGCCAGTGCCCTGACCAGAGCCAATGCCCCCTACAGAGGAAAGGCCCCGTGTCCCATTGCCCTGAGCAAACCATCCCCCCATCCAGGGGCCAGATCAGAGCCAGCACTCCCTAGAGGGGAAAGGCCCCGTGTCCCATTCCCCTGAGCCAGCCAATCCCCACCCTGGGGCCGGATCAGAGTTGAAACAGACTCAGGTTTGCAGCTGAGTCACAGTGAGCGGTGGAGTAGGGTGAGGAGCGACCCAGCTTCCTTCCCGTTCTCAGGGACCACAGAGGACAAACCTGACAGAGGTTACAGCTAATGTGAGGAGCATGTCAACCACAGGAAAGCAGCCCGGGAGAGCAGAGGGAAGGGCCCGAAACAAGGGCACGTGCTGTCTGTGGTAGAATGAGTAAGGAGTCGCCCGCAGTAACCAAGAGAATACGCTCCTTTCTAAGGGCTTCTGAGAACCCAGGAGTCCGGGCTCTTTCCCCTCTCCTATTCTCTCTCCCTCCTCTCCTTTTCTCCCCCCCGCCCCCCGGCTTTCTCATTAACCACCGACTCCCGTCTCTGGAGGGAAAAAGCCGGGAAGGTTGCAATGTCAGGATCTGAGTGAACCCAGAGGTTCTAGCGTAACAGGGTTGCACCGTCCAGGAGCTGGGAGGGCACCTGAGCAAAACAGCCCAGCCCCACTTGTAAACCATCACAACCTCCCCCACGGGAGGTGTGATTCATGAGCTTCATGTGACTGATGGGGAAACTGAGGCACGGGGCAGGGCAGGTGATTACATACTGGAATTTTTTTTCTGCCCAACCTGGGATTTTCCTTGGATTCCGTAAACGACAACCCCCCCAGGCTGGTCCTTACCCTGTGTCTGTCCTAGCCTGCTTGTGATCACAGCTGTAGTGGAGCCAATTAGCCAGGGTCAGCACTTCGCTGGGAGACATTGCTGGGTGGTGAAGGGGGTAAAACTGATATAATGGGGGTGCTGTGCTGCAAGGAGTGAGGTGGGGGTCTCAGTAGGGGGCGCTCTCCCCTGTAAATCAGTGCTGACTGCAATGCCCCAACGCTGTGCTAGGGGGCGCTGTGCTGCAGGGAGGAGGGCACAGGCTCAGCACCGCAGATCCTGCCCTAAGGCTGGGGCAAGCAGTGTGGAAACATGGGCTGTTAACAGCCGCCATGCCCTGCTCCAGAGCCAGCTGCATTTCAGTGCTAGGCAATCTAGCCCTGGCCGATGGCACTGGGTGGCTACTAAACAGCAGCTGCACCCCACCCCAGAGGCAGCTGCTTCTCAGCAGGCAGTTCCAGGGTGGTGAAAGGCGAGGTAGAAGGGGGCTAGTCTTTTTCTCAAGTCTCACACATCTGGACACACCCCCAGAAGGAGCCCGGCACAGCTGAGAACCAGTTAGAGAAACTTGAGAACCCGAGGCTGTGAGCTTCTCCGCAGCAGTGCCCTGTCAGCCACCAACCAGGGCCCCCAGTGCTGTGAGCTACCCCAAAGCAGTGCCCAGCCTGGGGCCCCCCAGTGCTGTGAGCTTCCCTGCCACAGTGCCCTGTCAACCCCCCAGGGCTGCAAGCTTCTCCCCTGCAGTGTCCCGTCAGCAGGGGAAGAGAAGGGGAGATGGGGAGCAAAATCCCAACAAACATACACCATCCCACCCAGGATCCGCTGGGCGGGGGAGGCAGATCCCACACCGCTAGTCGCTAGTTGCCCAGTGGGCACAGCACTGAGAAGAATGAAGTCGGGGCGATGAGGGTTCCCAGCTGGGTTTCCCCCACCCCATTTGACGGACAGACATTCCCTGGGGAGACATGGGGGTGCCCATCTGGATGGTGCCCAGATGGGATCCTTTGCCCAGCTTCCAGGCCGGGGCAGGTTGGTTGGGGGGCGTGGGAGCTGGGGCGGGGGCAGGTAGAGGGAGGGGGGATTCCAGGCTCGGGGAGGCTGGCTGCGGGGAGGGGCAGCGCTTGGGTCTGCAGGAAGGAAAGGGCTGGGGAAGCCCACAGCAGAGGGGAGTTCCCCCTTTCCCTCCCCCGCGCATTGTCACAGGGTTTGCCCAGCATGACGGGGGCCCTGATCTCGGTGAAAAACACACACGTGGGAATCTGGGGCTTGGGTGAAACAACCAGTTCTGATACCGTCAGGACTCGTGTTTGGCTGTGTACGTGTGTTAGCGTCAGGGG